TCCCCACTTTCCACCCCACATCACCCATCTCTCTGGGAAGGACACTAAAATTGGCACTCAGCCCCAGCACACTCTATTTTAAGCAAATCGATTCCCTCCCTGTCCCCAATAGTTTTTCTCTCTCTTGCAGCTATTCTTGTTATGTTGCTTACCACACTTCTCAACCTAAAGGGATCCTGGGCATCATCTGAGAATCCTGAGCTCAAAACATAGCTGCCTGGCCTGTCAACTCACCACAAGAGGAACACAAAAATAAAAATACAAAACAAACAGACAAAATCACACCTCACTTTTCTTCATCTTCCTTTATAACATGGTGGCATTGTAGTGTACAATGGATTGGACAGTGGAGAATGGCTGGGAAGAAATTGTAAGAAATATTTTCCTGAGCAGAAATTTGAAATTTCCAGAAAAACTAGAAAGTTGAACTATTAGGTCTTGGGAGAAGAACAGAATTCTGTTAAGTAATCCCCTAGGTGATTCACATCAAATGGGTCACTTACTTTCTCTTTGTTATCATAGAAAAACATTTCCTTAAAATATACTATCTGGTGCTTCTATTTCCTGGTTCCTCAGCTTCCCGATCACTAAAATGGGAACAGAATTCCAGGCTGAGCAGTTCCAAAGGCCTGCTTTGTCCATGAGGCAATATTCCTATCCAAAGTTATAAATATTGGGCTTCCCTGGTGGCACGAGGGCTTAAACATCAGCACTATAAAGCTATCCCTAGTCACTGCAGCACGAGTTCCATCCCCAGCCAGGGAGGTGACCCACATGGCACAGCAGACCTCTCCTGTCTCGCCCTGCTGCTCCTCTCAGCAGTGTATTTTAGTAGATCTGCCTTTTCTGTTCCCCACTCTGTCTCTGGTGAATTCACTCACCACCCCCCCCACCCACATACACACCTCTGGCCTGTGCCCGAGTTCTTGTATGCGTAACTAAATAAATCTTTAAAAAAAATCAAAGTTATAAACATTAAAGCAGGAGCACCTGATCTTCTCTGCTCCCCTGCACACCTATTGCTGAGCCCGACTACCACTTTGCACAGAGCTACTTCACCCATTTGCTTCAGAAAATGATGTGGCAGTGTCAGAAACTCCCTTAAAGAGGAGAATGAAGATGAAGATATGAGAGGTTCTTCTGGGGAAGGCATTTAAAAACATGTCATCTGCAATTCAAGGACCTTGGTACTAACCTTGCCACCCCATCCTCCCAACTTTGCTGTCTATAAAATCTTGGGCAAGTTGGTCAGCCTGTGCCTCAGTTTTCTTGTCAGAAAAGTGCATATACTACAAGCACCTACTTTCAAAGAGTGTTGCAAGAATTAAATGCATGGTAGGGTTAATAGGACATTTTTTCAGTATTCATTGTAATTAGCTAAATTTACCTTAAATCTTCACCACCATGGTAATCAACTGCATGCACTATAGTTTGAGGGGGTTAGGGAGAGAAGAGGGCAACCAACAGAGGTACTTAACAGAGATGCACTACACCAGCCACCAACCTAATCTCTTGTTAGCACAGGGACATATAACTGCTAGTTTGTGTAATGAGATGGGCTCAGGGGTTGTGATGGCAAGTTAGATCCATCACCACTGAAATACCTGGATAAATCACACAGAGGAGCATCTCAGCCTTGGTTAAGTGAGTCTGACACAAGAGGATAAAGGACGACATCTCCATTCTCATTAAGAGATAACAGATGGACTTTCCTAAAATCCATTTTTAGCTTAATTTCATTTGTTTAAATCTCTTGTCTGATGAGATAAGGTCCTGAGAATAATTCTAAATTGTTCTCCCTGGAATGAATATTTCTTTATCTTTATTAGAACCTCCCCCTATGGAGTTCTGTTGTCCTGGGTAGTTTTAATTATTCATCTCATCCAAATACAATAAATCTCCCTTTAATATTTTCTGCCTGAGACAGGGTCTGTGGTGTTAGAAGGTAAACGTTACGTGACGGGCTACATAATAAAACCAACTCAAAACAAATTTCTAAGTATTGTCATTGTAATTCCAAATTATCTTAAGTTTTCTATGATCTTATTTCTATTTCCTTTCATGATTTAGAAAATGATGGCTTAATTGTACAAAGTTTCTAGAATTATGCCACCTCAGCTTATATTTTACAGCTGAAAATTTGCTTCCTTTCATACTTTCATTCTTGCTGGTTCTAAGAAAATTATGTGAAAGTTTTTTTTAAATCAGATTTATATCTAAGTTTACAGTTTCACATCTCCTGAGATTTTAACCTCTTGATGTAAGCTTGCTTCATGGCCAGAATCTATAAATGTTGTTCATTTAGTTTCAAACTGAGTTAAAACACTTTTAAAACAGAATTAAAATAACTTCGTTTCAACGGGATAATATAAGATTGGATTATATATTTTAAATTCTGTAAGAGTCATGGACAAGCTGAAGGTCACCAGATGGCAGAATCATTTTGTGTTAATTCTCTTATATGGAGCTAACTATATACCTATACCTGGGATGTATTTTGAGTGATTTTTCTGATACCATAAAGAAAATTTTATTTGATCTACATTTTTATATTGTTTGCAATTTAATTATACTATATTTATAATATAATAACAATAAAAATTTCCCTACCACTTTACAAAAACTCTTCATTATTTTTCCATAGACTCAATGTTTCATATTTGTTATGAAACAATTTTACTATAATCACATTTTCACGGAATGAGATCACTGTAGCATTTTTTCCCACACCTTCAACGTGCATTTCCTTATAATTCCCAACCCTCATCATCTTCCTCACTCTGTGTCTGCCTCAGCAGATTACAGCTCACCTTCTCCTGTGTGGTGCTTCGAGAAGACACAGAAGGAAAAACTCCTTGAGCACCATGTTTTTTTGCCAGTTTTGCTCAGTGCTCTATCCCCAGTCAGGAGAAGAATGCTCGGCAAGTAGTAATAAATCAATAATTACTGAATGAGCGTGCAAATAAATGCCTTCTCTCACTATCTTCTGTGCCAGTGTCTCTCCAGAACTATCAACTCACGATCTTGGAGCATTTGCTTCCCTGCTCATGCATGATTCCTTGCAAGTGGAACTTCTTTTTGTAGATTGACCCTGAAATGTGTCTTACCCACCTGCTCCTGTACTTGCTTTCTCTTACCTCATAAAATGGGCTGCATGGACCCTTACACTTTAGTACCTCTCTGATGAATATTTAAGAGATGGCATCTGTCTCATGACAACTAAGAGTCATGTTCTCATCAATTTATGAGAAAATTAGTTTAAAAATAATTACTCTCTGCATCCTGAGAACACTGTGCTCTTTTGGAGTTTTGATATAGCCTTAAACCAATCTAAATAGATCTATGTTTTTCTCAGAGGCTTAAGGTGATAATGCAACTTCCACACTGTAATGATAAAAAATTCATATCTGTATTTCTCTAGATTGTGTTAACATTTCTAATAAACCAGAGCTGCCAAATGGTATACTTTGTTTTTTTTTCTCTATTTTTTAAATTTTTTTATATCAGTCTCCATTTTTAAACAATGTTTGTTTTATACCTTAATGTTACAGGGAAACCTCTGCCAGAAAAACACACTAGGGAAGAAAAGGCTACTCCAAAGCCAAGAAAAACATCAGTTTGCTCTTCAGAATCCTTCATTTGGTAGGGTTGAAACCACATATTAACTTGACTTCATGTTCTTTGTCTGCACTCATGGTTGCTATAAGAAACAGACCTTCTTTCAGCTCTTGAATCTTTACTCTTCTCATATATTTAAAAAAAAAATAAAGTTCCAAAGAGGCCATTTTCTCATCTCAGAACAAGGGGAAATCACAACCTTCCTGAAGGCCTGGGTTACTGTTTCATATTAAAACAAATCAGTCATGTATATAGGAGATGTTTCTCCATTTTTGCATTAGCTGTGAAAACATACAGCTGATTTTTGAGAGAGCAGAGTGGATTTGAGGCCCCATGTTCCACAATTAACATCTACACATTCTATTGTCTGTATGTCCACGAATCTTTCTTCATGTTGACTTTTATTTCCTTATTAGGATTCTCTTTACTCTGATTACCTTGAGAGTTTATTGTCCCATTTGAATTTGAATAACTATGAAGGACTCATCAGGTCCTTCATGGAAAGACATTCAGATAATAGTAAAATGTAAGATTCTTGAAAAGAAAATGCATGTCATGCACATTTTGCATGTTTTTTTTACAATAAGATATTGGTGGGGCAGAGTGCAAGTTCTCAAAGATGGTGTACACTCAATTTCACCATATAGTTATGTTTTAGAGACCCAAAAGTACTGCCATTAAGCATAACTGAAGAAACTACACTCATTAAAAATTGGCCAAAAAACTAACTAACATGTTATTCTAACAGCCCTGGAATCTCCCCTAGAAAAAAAGTTTGCATATTTACATGTTATTTTTGAAAAATGTTGTATTGAAGCACACTTTCAGACAGTCTATGATTGTTATATGAAATACATTAAACAAACCAAAAAGTCATATATAATCTCATCTCCCCCAAATCATAGGTATTAATAGTATGACATTTCCTTCTATAGTTCCTGCACATATATGTATGTGCACAGTTTAAATATGTGAGCAATAGTTTCTACGCTGGATATACTCTATATATTAATGTCCACTTTCTTAAATTATAGTGGATCATTCTCAGATTGTATTTTTTCACCTCTGCTTTTGTACTAAATCTCTCCCCATATTATAAGAGGCAAAACATTGTTTTTAATGGCTGGATAATACATATAATCCATGAGAATAAGCGGACATAAGAATATTTCCTTCCTGCATAGAATGTAAACTTTTGGTAATCTACCACTGTGTTAAATTATTTCATGTTGAGATAATTCATTCACAGTCTCCTTGGGAACAATAAAATCAGTTTTATTTCTAAAATATCTCATGGAAGTAGGGATCACTTATCATGGGCTCGCTAGGCATAAATTGAACCCAGCCAAACAACGAAGAAATGAATAAACCCAGGCACTTACTAATTTCGGTGGCAATGATTGTTATGTTGTGCCATACACTTAATTCTCTGTCAAGTGGTGTTGCCAACGTGATCTTCCCATCATCTGCATTAATGTTGAACTGTCGCTCCAGGTCAGTGTGCCGGTCAATGGAAAACCTACAAAACAGATATATCTGTGATCTACTTCAATGTTTCTATGATCTATGCATTCCACAGCAGACCTTTAGTAGCCCTCAGAGAGCCATAGTTGTGAAGTCAAATGAATTGGGAAACTCTATGGCATCATAATTTGTAAAACAAAGTGACTGAATGAGGCACAAGAAACCTAGTAATTATTGTCCAAGGAGTAATTAGCTGTGTACGCAACATGGAGGTCATAAGCTGCCATCAGTTTCAATAGGTAGCATCTTCAAAAATGGATGCTGATGAAGAGTTAATTGGACAATCCATCACATTTATTGGACAGCTTATGATAATTAGCAGTTGCCACAAAATATCATATAAAACAATGAACTCAAGCTCAAAGCAGAATGGTGCCAGCCAGCATGCTACTTTTGACAGTTCAAAGGAAATGTGTGGTGGTGTTACTACATCTGACTAGACAGTATGTTTGTGGTGTAGATGTTGTTTTGTTTTGTTGTCGTTTAAAATAAAGTGTATATATATATGTATATATATATATATACACACACACACACACACACACACACATTTTCTTATTAGTCTCTGTCCATAGAAATAAGATGGTTGCTTATTCTCTAGTAATCATTTTGTTTAAGTTGAAACAGATGTTTTAGAAGATTTGCAACACTAGATTCTATGAAATTAAGAATTTTAAACATACAGGTCCATAGTTTCTCCTGAAAGAGAAAACTCTTTCCTATAAAATGTGAAGATATTTTGCATCTAGAGCCAACTGTTTCTCAGGGACACTAAGATCAAGATAATACTGGAATTTTTCCCACAAGTTATTAATAGTCTTTCTATAAACCAAAATCTGTGCTTTGGCTATGGAATATTAAACCTGATAAAGTACACATCTTAAGGATCACATGATATAATTAGAAAATGTGGTCTATAAATAAGCAGTGAAATAAACTAAAACAGGATAGAACAGAGGCTGAAGAGAGGGTGTCATGGACTGAGTGTCTAAATCAACTCCCCTCTCCCCATTAATATGTAAAATTCTGATTTTAAAAAAAGATTTATTTATTTATGCATATAAGAAATGGGATACAGGCCAGAGGTGCGGTGAGGGGGGGGCATTGAGAGGATTCATCATAGCATAGACAGAGTGGGGAGCAGAACAGGTGGACTGACTGAAATACATTGCTGAGAGGAGCAGTGGGAGAGACGGGAGAGGTCTGCTGTGCCATGTGGGTATCTCCCTGGCCTGTCTGGGATAGAACTCATGCTGCAGAGGCTGCAGATAGCTTCACAGTGTGGTGCTTAACCCCTTGTGCTACCAGGGAGGTCCAAATTCTAATTCTTAATGGTTAGTATTTGAAGGTGAAATTTTGGGGAGGCAATTAAGGTTAGATTAGGTGTTGAGGGTGGGGCCCTCATGATGGTATTAATGACTTATTTCAAAAAGGGAGAGACTTGAGTTATTTCTCTCTCTCTTTCCCTCTCCTTGTCTCACTTCCTCCTTCTTTCTAGCCCCTCCTTCACTCCCACCCCAGTGGGGTGCAGTGAGAAGACAAGGCTTTGCAAGCTAGGATGCTTGTTCCCACCACATACTGATCTGCTGGAGCCAGGCTTTAGAACTGTGAGACATACATTTTTTCTATTTAAGCCACCCAGTCTATGCATGACAGCCCAAATTAAAACAAAGGTCATGTACATTCCCGTTCTAGGAATGAGTACTTAAGAAAGTCTTCAAGGTTAAGGTGACTTCCTATAAAGTGCTTCTGAAATCTCTCTATTCACTGATACTCATTAACCCTAAGTATAAAACATTCCATGGCTATTTAGTGGTGAGAATGTCTTCTTTTTTTTCCTACATGTCCTGTGTTCATTTATTATGCAGTCAAGAATAAGACTATGTTATTACATGGAAATGAGAAAAATGTAAATTTCCCATAATCCCCCACCTGTAGTTTTGCATTGTTGACATTGTGCTTTAGTAGATTTTATTGCAAACTGTATATATTTAGGTATATTCTGTCTAGCTACTTATTTATATGTATTTTATTTGTTGGTATATATATCTACCTCTGAAGATAGATAGATAAAGATGCACAATTAGAGATATAAATAATTCCTTCTTCCTTTTAGTTATTTCTTTGTCATCAGAAGTGGTATTTATGTCCTCTATACCAGATGCAAATACCATAGGAAAAAAAGCCATTTCTGTCAAATCTCCCCCACCAAAGGCAAGCATCATTAAACAGTTTGGAATACTATTAAAATGTGTTTAATTTTATTGACTTTTTTTTCATTGTTAAATTCCTTGAACAAATCATGCAATATGAAATAATAGATCCTGAGTTAGTAACGACTAAAAAGAAATGCCTGATTTAATAAAGACTACAAAGAAAATTAAGACACTGACTTGCATCTCTGCACCAGGTATTTACAATCCAACACCATTCCTAATACCCAGGATGATTACAGCAATTCAGAAAGGATTTAAGAAACCCGAATCACATATGGA